TGTGGGGGGGTGTAGGGGGTATATGTGTGTGTGTATGGTGTGTGTGCCTGTGAGTGTGTCACATACGTGCAGGTGCTTGACAAAACTAGAAGCCTTGGATTCCCGGGAGCTGGAGTTAGTCACTAGCCTTGTGACAAACAAGAGGGTTGGGAACCAAACGCTGGTCTTCTGGAAAAGCAATATGCACTTTTTGTTGTTGTTTTGACTGTTTTTTGTTTTTTGAGACAGGGTTTCTCTGTGTAAAAGCTCTGGCTGTCATGGAACTCATTCTGTAGACCAGGCTGGTCTCAAACTCACAGAGATCCACCTGCCTCTGCCTCCTGAGTGCTGGGATTAAGGGTGTGCACCACCACTGCCTGGCTCATGCTCCCAGTTTTTTAATGAGGGTGCTGGCTTTCAGCTCAAGAAAGCACTTTACCAGCTAAAACAAACAGAGGAGGCTGGCTGGCCAGTGAGTCCCGAGGGTCTGTCTGGCCCCACGTCCCCAGCACTAGATTATAAATATGAGCCACCATGCCCTGTTTCTGTTTCTTTTTTAACATGGGGACTGAACTCGGGTCCTGGACTTGGATAGCAAGCACTGCCATGAATGAGCCATTTGAGTCTCCTCAGTTTTATTACCTCCCAAGGAGGATTGCTTCCTGAAAAAAAAAGAAAGCCTGCCTTCCAGCAAATGCTGCAAGCAAATGGGCTCCCTGTGGAAGGGACTGAGGTGCCTCTTAGGGACAGAACTATAGCACAAACAATAGAAATCCAGAGACAGATACTGGGGTTAAAGCTGAAGATCAGAAGAGTGAAGCAGCCAAGCCACTAGTGAGTTCTTAACTCTACCAAGACTAAGAGCAAAGAGGGCAGGGCAGTCCTGTCCCCAGTGTGACTGCAGACTGCAATGCTCTCCACCAAAGCTCAGACTGCTCTGAGACTGCACTGAGCTCCTGCCTTAATTCCTCTCTAGTGCAGGGATTAAAGATGTGTCATCCCAAGTCCTGGGGTCAAAGGTGTGAGCTCTGTTTCTTTTTTAGACTGGTTCACTCTCATGTAGCCCAGGGTGGCCTTGAACTCACGGAGATCCACCTGTCTCTTTCTCCCTAGTGCTGGGATTAAAGGTGTGGCCACCACTGCCTGTCCTTTATGGCTAACTAGTGGCTTAGCTCTGCACTCTGAACTTTAGGCAAGGTTTATTTGTTAGATCACAAATAAAACACCACACACAAAACTGTCAGGCAGGGAGAGGAGATGTGCTAGCTCCTCAGGACTTACCAAGCAGTGAGCCTGGGACTGTGAGGTGCCCACTCATCCCTTAATACTCAGTTCCTTCTTGGCTCACAGGCGAAACTTCCACAGCCAGGACCTGCTTTCAGGAGCCTCTCAGGGGTGAGTGGTACCTGGGTGGGGGCAGGGTTGTGGTTGGGAGCACTGGTACCTGGGGGTGGCTTCAGCTCTCATGTGAACATGGGTCCCGTGAGGTTGCAGTTTGGAGACTGAGATGTCTCCAGTTAAGGGACTACTTTGCTAAGGGCTAGCCTGGGCTTCAGCCTTTCCTGGGATAAGATGGGGTTTTCAGCTCCCATCCTCATCTCTGGACTCCAGCACAGAGGAGAGCACAGATGCAGGGCCTGATGGCTCCTTGGGTCGGGCGTAGCCGGGGGTCTCAGTTTGAGAGCCTATGCATTATTTAACTACCCTAGGTGGTGAGAGGATGACTGGGCTAGGAATCACAACCAACATCCATTTCTTGCCCAGATATTCTTAGCGATTTACAATTTGCATCAGATGCTCTTTCCTGAGTGCCTGCCTCAATCACCAAATAAAACAAAAAGAGGGCAAAGTGGGAGGCCCTTGTTATTACCAGTAGAAACTAAGTTTAGACATCAGGAAGGGCTTTCCCTGGAGAAGGAAACAGAAGGAGACTGGCCAACAGAGATGACAGGCCCTCCCTGTCCTCTGGGAGGTCTAGGGCTCCTGGGGACTCCTCCCACTCTTTGTTCTGCAGGGACACCGGGGCAGGTACTGAGGCTGAGTGCCCTGCGGCTGCTTCTCTTCAAACTGCTTCTGTTGGATGTGCTACTGACCTGCAGCCGCCCCTGTGTGCTGGCTGGCCAGCACCCACTGCCACCACCCCCACGCAAACACCTGCCTCCCATAGTAGTAAGAGACTTCAAGATTTGATCTTATCCAACCCTCTAAGGCTGAGCCCAAGATGGCTACTCTGGACACTTCAGCCACCTGGGGCAGGAACAGCTTTGAGGAGTTGTCTGCCTCTCTATCTGGGACTGGGCTCTGCCTCCCTTGGCAGCCTGAGGCTTTGGGAGGGAAAGGACTATGTCTCCCTGTCGCACAGGGTAGGAGGATGGATGTGCCCCAGTGTGTGTAACCAGACACAATACAGAAGAGCTTAGATGACACAGCACGTTGTAAAGCTTTTCATTTATTTGTGTGCCTGGGGGAAGTGGTGTGCCAGATAAAGAGGAATCGGAGATCTGGGAAGGCTCCCTGGAGAAAATTCCCCGGTGAGCTTGGGGACTGGAGAGGGGTTGTAGAGACTCTCTCCTACCCCTGCTGTCAGTCACTGGATAAGGGTCCTCCCTGCTTCCTTACCCCGGAACAGCCTCTCTGAGAGGGTGAAGGGGAGCCAGGGAGGTAGTGCTTACCTGCTAGTCTTTTGCAGACTTGATAGAAGAGTGCAGAGCCATGATTCCAGGGCATCAGGATCACATCCAATGCTAGCAGCGCAAGACGGTAATTGCAAACCTACATGCTATTAATTAGAGGTCAGTTTTCATTTGACAGAGAGTAACTCAGCGTCAGCTGGGAGCCAGGTACTAAAGAGGTTTGGCTTCATTGGTTTTTCTTTCTTCCCTAAAGAGAGACCCCACATGGATAAAGGATGAGGTTCCCACAGTGTACACACGATTTACTTCCAATTGTGTGTGTGTGTGTGTGTGTGTGTGTGTGTGTGTGAGAGAGAGAGAGAGAGAGAGAGAGAGAGAGAGAGAGAGAGAGAGGGTACCCATGGAGGCCAGAGGTGGAGCTGGAGTAATAGATGGTTGTGAGCCACCTAATGTGTGTGTTGGGTACCTAACACAGGCCTCTGGGAGACCATCTTTCCATCTCTTGAGTCTTTCTTCCTCCCTCCCTCTCTCTTTCTCTCTCTCTTTCCTCCTCTCCCTCCCTCTCTCTTTCTTTCTTTCCTCCTCTCCCTCCCTCTCTCTTTATTTCTTTTCTCTCCCTCCCTCTCTCTCTCTTTCCTCCTCTCCCTCCCTCTTTTCCTCCTTCTTCTGCATCTTCTTCCACTTCTGCTTCTTCAAGACACAGTCTTGGGGGCTGGAGAGATACCTCAAAAGTTAAAAGCACTAGTTGCTCTTCCAGAGGACCAAAGGGTCAGTTCCTAGAACTCATATGGCAGATAACAACTGTCTATAATTCCAGTTCCAGGGGATCTGGCACCTACACACAGACATATATGCAGTCAAAACCCAATGCACATTGAAAAGAAAAAGAAAAAAAGATGGAATCTCAAGCCGGGCAGTGGTGGCGCACGTCTTTAGTCTCAGGACTCGGGAGGCAGAGGCAAGCAGATCTCTGAGACTTTGAGACCAGCCTGGTCTACAAGAGCTAGTTCCAGGACAGCCCTGAGACTCTTTTGTTTTGTTTTTCGAGACAGGGTTTCTCTGTGTATCTTTGGAGCCTGTCTTTATATATATATAGAGAGAGAGAGGGGGGGGCAGGGTCTCTCAGTTGAACCCTGAATTCTCAACTAAATCTAGAGCTCACAGACAAAGACTAGTCCAGCTAGTCAGCTGGCTCTGAGGATCCTATCTCCACAAAAAAACACTGTAATTATTGGTGGGATACCATTCTTACACCACATTTACATGGGTGCTGAACTATCTCCCCAGCTCATCTCCTGTCTCTTCCTGTGGATCTTTGGGGAACAGAGGCACAGCTTCTGGAGATGAAGCTGTCCCCTCCTCCACAGGAACTGGTCATCCTCCATGGCCAAGTTCAGGGAGGGGTCCAGCTGTAGCCTCCATTTCTTTAAACGTTGTCCTTTCCCAGCAATTATTGCAGGCTATGAGCCAAAGCTAATTTTTTGCCTCTGTAAATGTCCCCTCAGCTGCCTTGGTCCAGAAGCTGAGTTTCCTTCACTTTCAACTTTATCCTGCTCCATCCCTTAAGTCACCACTGTGGCTGAATAATCTGCAGGAGGGCTTCCCAGTCTTGTGTGTCAGGGCGGTGGCCAAGTTTTGAGCCTAGAGTCTAAAAGAGCCTAGAGAAAGTGGAGACTTCCTGGAGGCTGTCCCAATCTTGTATATTGTGAAGCTCCACATGCCATAGCCCCATCTAGCCAAAGTGTCCCGATACCAGCACTGTTCAAGCTACATCTCTGAAGGGAAAATTGTCCTGGCAATCAGGAGCCAAGGAATATCATATAATCACACCACACAACAAACCTCACACAAGAAATTTATTGGGAAAGACACAAGAGGGAGGCTGCCTCTGCTTGGGGAGAAGCCGCAGAACTGAGCAAGAGGCAGGTTTTATATTGTTTTTCTTTGGGGTGGGGCTTTCCAGGGTGGTCTGATACTGGAGGGGTTATGTGGCCTGATTTGGGGGCAAACTCAAGGATTGGTGTGATTTTGTGGCCTTGTCTTGGCTTTTTGTTTTTCTTTAGGGCAGGGCTTGTGTTAGTTATTCATGCGAATTTGGGAGGCAGTTCAGGCTTTCCCTATTGCTTGCAGAGATGCCAGTTCTAAGTCCCACCCCTGGAGACCTGGGGGCCAGGCCTGTCTTCTAGAGGCTGCCATCAGCCAGCTGCCCCCATCTTCCATACCAGCAGAGTCCTAACATTTGCACTGGGGAAGTCTTTCTCCTCACAGCTGTACACTTACAGGCTGGCCACTCCTGCCTCGAGGGGATGGAATGGTTTTAGAATGGTTATAGAAGCTTGAGGGCATGACCTAGCCATTCTCCTGGAGGTGGGGCCTAGCTGCTGCTGGAAGGTCTTACAGAACAAGGGCTTTACACAGGACACTAAGGCCAGCAGAGGACAGGTTGGGATTGGAGAACTTCATAAGCCTAGCAAACATACTCAGATTTAAGGAAGAAAACAGTTATTTAAGCTGCATTTGCTGACAGCTTCCCAGAGAAGTTGAGCTTAGAGTCAGTTTAAAGCAATGCCAAGAACCCAGAGAGTCCTTCTAGAGCCAAGGGCTACCCTTGAACTCGTGGTCCTTCTGATTCTTCCAAAGAGCTCTGTTCTTTCTGCCTTCACCTTCCAAGACTTGGAATCAAAGTGCTGGTATTATGGGCATGTATCATCACACATAACTGATACGGCTCACTTGTGTTTGGTGCCAGATTGAGCCTAGGACTTCATGCACACAAGGCAACCATTCTGCATCTAAGGTCCATGTTCAGTTATGGAATCCTTTTTTTTTTTTTTTTTTTTTTTTGCATTGGGTGCCAGATCTTGGAGTTACAGTTATTAGCTGCCATGTGGTTGCTGGGAATTGAACTCCGGGTCCTCTGGAAGAGCAGCCAGTGCTCCTAACCACTGAGCCATCTCTCCAGCCCCCAGGAATTCTCTTCTTAACAAAGATCTCCTAATGCTGGGCACCCTGATGATGCAGAGGCAGAAAGGACCTGTTCAGAATACAAAGAAATAAATAGCAGAAGAGACTGAGATAGCTAAAAAACGCTGGGATGTTATCTGTCTGCTCCATATATTGCAACATGTTTTTGTCTTGGAGACAGGGACTGGGACTCCTGTAGCTCAGGCTGTACCCCATGACTATGCAGACAAGGATGACCTTGAATTTTTAATCCTTCTCCATCTGTCTCCTGAATGTTGAGATTATAGGCTTACATCTCCACCCACCTCCAGGTTTATGCCAGCCTAGGGACTGAATGCCAGACTGGAGAGGGAACACCAGGAATTTGCACATGCTAGGCAAGGGCCCTACCACTAAGCTACGTTCATTTTTAATCCCTCTTTTAATTAGGGTGTGTGTGTTACAGCTCTGTTCCATTGCAGGGGAGGGTTCCCCAGTATGTTACAGCTCTTTTGTTTGTTTTTGAGACAGGTTTTCTCTGTGGCTTTGGAGGCTGATCTGGAACTAGCTCTTGTAGACCAGGCTAGTCTCAAACTCACAAAGATCCACCTGCCTCTGCTTCCTGAGTGCTGGGACTAAAGGCATGTGCACCACGGCCCAGCTATGTTACAGCTCTTAAGGGAAAGGTGTCCTGGCAATTGGGAGCCAAGGAAGCCAAGCAATACCACAGAGTCGCACTGAACAACAAACCTCACACAAGAGCCTGGGTGGGGGGAGCCGGGCAGTGATGGCACACACCTTTGATCCCAGCTTGCTCTCCAGATGAGTTCCAGGACAGGCAGGGCTACACAGAGAAACTGTCTGTTTTGCCCCAGTCTGAGGGACCCCAAAAGGACCACCACCAAGGAGAGGACTCACCAAATGCAAAGGTAAACTTTTCTTTATTAATCACACCATGGCAGGAATCCCCGGGAGTGAGTGAGATGCCTGTTTACAGCTAAGGAGGTTTTATATAGGGAAAGACCATAAGGCTGAAACCCTCGAGATTACAAAGTTTCTATGATTACACAAGGTAAAGCAATAACTATATGTTTAAGAAAGATACAATTGCCGGGCTGTGGTGGCACATGCCTTTAGTTCCAGCACTCGGGAGGCAGAGGCAGGTGGATCTCTGTGAGTTTGAGACCAGCCTGGTCTACAGGAGCTAGTTCCAGGACAGCTTCCAAAGCCACAGAGAAACCCTGTCTCGAAAAACAAAACAACAGGGACCAGGCCCTTCTCTCTTCTTCAGACCAACACCCCTCATCCCTTTCCCCTAAATGGCAGAGCCCCTTCAAGGTGATTCTTGTAACTCCAACAGCTGCTAAGCTTGAGCCCCCCCAAACTGGATTCACTTACCCACCTCAAACCCTTTCCTTCTTCACCTGAGCTCACCCCTCATACACAGAAACCGCAACAGAACACTGTTCCTTTAAGTACAGAGGACACCCAGGTCAACTACCTTGTCCCCGATTTCAGAAGAATGAGGCTTCACCCCTACAACCATACTGCCAGACTGGGAACCCTACCTGCTTTCCTTCCTGACCCCTCTCCCTCTCCTCAAGCTGATCTGAGCTCTCCTGCTCCTACTAATTACACCTGCTCATCAATCTCCTCTCTGTGTAGCCCCAATATCTCATTCAAACTCCTAATCCAATCAATTAGCTGTTTGATAGGAATGCCAGCGGTAGCCCCGGATCTGGGGACAACAAAGACCATAACCATATCCAGGAGCCCTCAAATCAACCGTCTGTGCCTCCTGGGTGAATGCAAAGGACTAAGAGGTGCCAGAGAGTTCCATACAGCCTGGACTGTGAGGAAACAACCAGCTACCCCAGGACCCGGAAAATGGTCAATGTCCTCTAAGTCAGCTGGAAGCAGTCTTGACGATTCGGTGCCCTGTATTCCTGCCCTACCTGACACCCCCTATTTAATCTCCCACCATTTAATAATAATAAGAGGTGGGATTGTTGATATCCTGGCTTCTCCCTCTTCCTGGGTCCTGGGCAACCTGGCCCTGTTCCTGATTCCTCTCCTTCTCCCACCCCATGGTTTCTTCTCAGCCTGTCAGTCTGCGCCAGCCCTCTCCTGGGCCTGGGCCTTCTCCTTAGGGAACCTTTCCTGGTCGTGCGTGGGTCCTCTCTAATCTCCACATCCTGGGATCACTCTTTCCCGGGCAACCTTCCCGCGCCCAGGTGATCACTCCTCACTGACATCTGTCAGAGGTTGCATAGCAGCGATAACACCTATCCCTCCCTTTGTTCCCTTTCCCAATAAACTCCATGTGGGTTTATTTATTGAGTTTGGTGGATCATGTTTCGTCGCCACAAGCTGCAGCGAAGAACAACACCCAGGACCAACATGGTGGTGGAAGGTAGTAACTGATTCCAGTCATTCCCAACGCAAAATAAAAAAATGTTTTACACCTTAAGGGTGCCCGACGTGGAGGTGCACTCTAGAGGCAGGTAGATCTCTGAGTTCGAGGCCAGCCTGATCTATAGAGTGAGTTCCAGGACAGTCAAGGCTATACAGAGAAACCCTGTCTCAAAAAACAACAAACCCAAAAACAAAAACTGTGAAAGACAGTCGGCTTCACGTTATCCGGGACTAGAGCGGCCAAACCCAGACTATCCAAGGTAAGCCAGAGGATCAGATGCTCCAGCCTCTCCAAGTCACCGTTAGAAGGCGGAGCGATCGCTATAGGTCTCCGCAGCCACCATCCGCTGTCTGATTGGCCGAGGTGGGAAAAAAAAAAAAGATCGTTTTTCTCATTCGCTAAAATGCAAACGCCCAGCGAACCCACTGGCTGCTTCTCCGGCGGGCCTTGGTCCCGCAGCCAGCGGCTGGAGGAGAGGGGGCGGGCTGGGGCTCGCTGTTGCCGTGGTTACACGGAGGCACGTGTGCAGTCCCGGAAGCGACCGGGGGAAGCTGCTCCGCGCGCGCTGCTGGAGGAAGCGCCACCGGGTCCGCTCCGCTCTGGGTCCGGCTGGGCCATGGAGTCGATGTCTGAGCTCGCGCCCCGCTGCCTCCTGCTTCCCTTGCTGCTGCTGTCGTTGCTGCTCCTGCCCGCCCCGAGGCTGGGCCCGACCCGTGCCCGGGCGGAGGACACCGACTGGGTGCGATTGCCCAGCAAATGCGAAGGTGAGGGGGCGGGGCCGCGGGGCGTACCCAGGCCGAGGGGCGGGGGGGGGCGGGG